CTCGTTACTCTGCAGTGTTCAGGGAACAACCAACGAACTCTGTGAGCGCAGACGACCAGCAGCAGCTGGGATAAATAATCTGGGGCCATTTAGTGCTCTGATGTTAAAACAAGACTTTTTAAACGAATTCTAACATCTATTAGAAGCTGATGTAAAGAATATAAAACAGGAGTGATGTGAGCTCGTTGGCTGGAACGTGTCAGTCGTCTGGCTGCTGCGTTTTGTTTGGCTGTGAGGCAGAAAGAGACGATTAGCAGATCGTTACATGAAGGAACCTTTAAAACAAGCGTGTCCATGCTCACAGGTGTACACACAGGTGATCACACACACACAAACTACACCCTTATTGGCTCCTACCTCAAAGCTCACTGTGCGCTGTCGATCTTACGTGCTGCACAATAATGTTTAACATTTAGTATTTACTGTTATATTCACATAGATCATCGTGATGTTGTTTATTGTGTTGTTGTTGTTTTTTCTTCTGCTTGTTTTCTCTTTTTTTTTCTCAACAGGTGATCCAGCTGATTGATAGATGGATTTTTTGTCTGTTTGTTTTGTTTGTTTTTGTTTTTTGCTCTTTTGTCACTGTCCCTCGTCCCCGCTGTTTTTCTTTCTTTTCCCCAGTCAAGTCTGTCCCATATTTAGCAGGTTAAAATAGAATAAAATAAACAATAGGGCTGGGATGGTCTATTTGGTAAATCTGTTGGGCATCTTTCTTCACCTTTAGACAATAATTCTGATGCAAAAGAGCCAAACGGGACAGACAAAAAAAAAAGAGACGATTTGTCCAGGCTGGTAAACAGATTTTACATGTGAGTTAAGGCCCAGAGAAGAATCCAGTATTACTTCGAATGTTTGGCTCAGCAGGAGGTCAGAAAAGCAGAGTGTAGTTCAGGAGAAGCTGTGATCATGGTCTCAGCCGTGTTCATGTTTAAAACACGGCAACTTCTATACAAAAACAATGTCACGTGTACAGATGTGTGATCTAAAAACAGGAGGACTTACATGTTAGCTTTAATCTTCCGGTTTATCAAACAGCAGTCTTTCCCTTTAAATCTAAGCTCTCTTCTTCCTCTCCTCTTTCTCATCTTTCTCCATCTCTGACTGAAGTTCGCTCTCTTTCTTTTCTTTCCATGTGAGATGCAGCAGTTGGACTTTCAGCTGCAAACTGTTGTTCTAACTGCAGATTGTAGAAAGTTAAGTTTAGGATTTCTTTGGATCTCTCAGTCATGCAAGTGTAGCTGAGAGTAAGTTGATGTCAGAGGCTTTGCTAATCAGATCAGCTTCTCAGGCCACAGATGATGATTGCATGGTTACATTACGCTCAGCTGCAAAGTCTGTGCAGTAACAGGTTCTGTGACACACAACAAGCTCACACTGCAAGCAGAAAATTATCTCTGTGCATAAGAAGTTGCACTTGGTGGAAAGTGTCCGCAGTGCATTTGTTAAGGGCGAGATTTAGACCGACTGAGAGAGTGCAGGAAAAGATCTTTGCTAAAAGCTGCTGATGGCTGAGAATTAGGGCTGCCACGATTAGTCGACTAGTCACGATTACGTCGACTATCAAAATC